GAAGGTGTGACGGACTCTACCCAGGATGCTGCAGAAGGCTACTCCTAACAAACTCTTAAGCCCTGCGGCTTTTCAATTTCAACAGCTGGAGGAAGCCTCCAGACTGTGCCCTTCACTTATTATTGGAATAACGGAGTGATTCCAAAGAAATGGGTGTATCCAGCCCAGATCTCCAAAATCACTCATCTGGCTGGGTGGATAGTTGCCTCTCTAGGGCCTTCCCACCCACCCACATCCTCTCGGCCCCCTGCGGTTGCCATACATACTTAGTAAAGAACTGGTGTCTGGAAGATATGGAATGGGAAGGCCTCTCAAGGGGCATGATGTCACATTTTCCCCTCACTGCTGCTTTTCAGTCTGAGATAACTTGTTGCTCTTAGAAGCCTTGTCAACTTTGCGGAGAGGCTGTGCAGCCTGTTAAATTGACTTCCTTAAATTGTAAGTAGTTTCAGGTATATAAAATACGAAATCCCAGCAAGGTACACCAGCTAGAGCACAGCCAAAGCCCATGGGCTCATTAATTAGCTTCAGCTGACCCAGCAAAAAACTCCAATAGAGTTTACAGGCGAGCTTGAAGATAAAAGGGTGTCAGAAATATTGCAAACCTGGACCTTTGCTTGCCTTTGGCCTCCATGTTAGAGATGACAAAGTTGACGAATGTGGGTCTCATGGTTTTGAGCAAGGGAGTTGGTGGTGTTGGCCTTTCCTGAGTCGTATTGCTCTTCTAGTTCCTGTAGAAAAGGGCTCCATTCCTGGTTTCTGACAACTTACCAATCCCCACCACCCCTAACCTTGAGAATCAATGGGAGGTAGAGCCCTGACAACTTGAGCCCTTGTAATTCAATTGAGCCTATCAAATCATGAGTCTCTAAGATCCCATGACCTATGGAAATCTTCTACTTTGTGTGCTGGCTCTAGTGTTAAATAGCTAAGTTCTTACCATGGAGCTGTGCATTTGGAATATGACTCTGAGATTATAATATAAAAATCACACGTTGCCACCCACTTTAGCGATGCTCTTTTAGGAACTTTGAAGTAAGTTGATGGTTTTTATCACTTGAGTACTTCCAAAGACTTTTTAATATTTGAACTGTTTTAACCTTCAATCAACTTAAGGTCTGAATATACAAGAGAGAGTGTGCAGGGCGGGGTGGGGGGGGGTGGCTGAAACGGAAATGGGGTCATAGTTCATCAGTACTGGGCTTGGCATTACCCTGCCCTGTTGGGAAAGTTTATCTTCCCGTCACTTGTTATTGATGTAGAAGAGGTAGTGTTATGTGTGGCTGTAGATGGACACATTATAGAAATGGCCAAATTGCCAACTTAAGCATTGTCATGTGGCTATGAAAAATTTAAGCATCTCTATCCACAGACCACTTATGTGGTTTTTGTATCTGGACAGTTGTAGCTGCTGTTCCAATTCTGGTTAGGACAGAAAAATATCTGGGAGGTGGTGTGCTATGAGCATTTGTTTCTTATTAGATTCTCAATTATAGGGACTTATCTGCAAAAATTTTCAAATGACATGGCACACAGTATAAGAAAACATTTTAATGATCATTAATATCCAGTAGATAGTTTCCAGTTTAACCTGATCGTGTTCCTTCTATCCTCATAATCCTCATGAGGAGGACATCATTGTGCAATACCTGAGGAAACCATCCTACCGCAAAATTCCTAGTCTCTTCCCTCTGCAGTCTTTTCCAGTACAAATATATAGCTAGCATCAGACGGTTACGTTTGTCAGGGAAGGAGAAATAATGAAGGCAGCTATTATACTTTTACTGAATGCAAAGCATTCGGTAGTGTAATTAAACTCATAAAAATGGTGAATCATGATCACCACGAAACAGCCAGCCAGGAAGTGAATGAAGAAGCCCGTGTTTATTTGGGACCAGCAGCTGATGTGGGTCCTCCAGTAGCAGTTCACAGGCCTCTCCTGAGTTTTGGATGACAAGTGCCTCATCTCATTTTAAGAACTCAAAGTTTTAATGAATATTCTAAAGGCTGTCCAAGGAAATGTTTAATATGAGTGAGTTTAGGCCTGGGAGACATCCATCTATAATTTCTGGTTACAAACAAAACAGCAGAATTTCCATTATTAGGAAAAAAGAGTCCTGCCCAAGGTACTTCCAGGTGGTCTTTTTTGGTCATGGTGAAGGTAGCATTTTGAAGCTTCCAGAAGTCTGTCTCCCATTTATAATTTGATATGTGGGTATAAGCCTATCATAGGTTATAGAACGTGGTGAAGCACAGTTAGAAAACATTCGAAATCTTGTTTTGAAAATACAATTTTGCTAAACATTCTTGATTCTTTATGAAACGAGATGATGATGCAATTTGTGTGACTGTCATGGGCCAAAATCATTTATTTGAATGGTTTACCTGAACATCAGAGAAGTGTGGAATTTTATATATAGTACTGTCTTCCTCTTTCCCAGGGAAGTACTAGAGCCTTTTCTGCATCAGTCAGTTTTTGCTTGAGGTAATCACATTATAAGAGGCAAAGATTTATTTTGGCTCATTGTTTCAAAGGTTTCAGTTCAGGCTCATTTGGTTCTGATGCTACATCATGGCAGAGAACGCATGGCAGAGAAAGTGGCTCCTCTGGTGGCCAGGAAACAGGAGGGGCTGAGTTCCCAATAACCCCTTCAAGAGCATTCCCCAGTGACCTGGCCTCTTCCAACTAGGCCCTACCTCCTAAAGGTCCCCCCACCTCCTAGTAGCACCACAGGTTGTTGACCATGCCTTTAACACAAGGACCTTTGGAGAATATTCCAGATAACAAGCTTGAAGTAGAAAAGAAAAACATAAATGTATGCGTGCATATATCTGTACACACACGTGCATGTGTGCACACTAGTAAGAGAAATCAAAATCAAGGTAACTTAGAAAGGTAATATTTAAAATATTTTAATAATTACATAATTTGAGAACAAAGGAAAGCATTAGAAGATGGTTTGTGGGAAAACTGTTAGGTTGAAAATCAGTTACAGGAACAGACAAAAGTGAAAGGTATTATTAAAATGTTTATTGGCTTCTTAACACTTTAGTCCTTCATATACATTTTTAGACTCAGACTTGTGCTCTTTTCCACTTGAAATACTAAACCTTATATAATTGTGTCTCACGCATCTCTTTTGAAGGAATGGATTTTAGTGAATTGAGTTTGGATTCCTGTCTCGAAAGCAAAGCTCCTGAATCCTTTATAACTAACCTTGAAATAGAACCATTTTGTGAGCACTTGAGAAATTTCCCACAAGGACATTTGCAATCATTGCCTTGTTCTCTCTCTCTCTCTCCTCTCTCTTCATTTTCATGTTTTTCGTCTCCAATCTCTCATTTCTTACCTCGTTAAGCACCTTGAAGGCCTCACAGGATTGGAATGTCAGTCACCATTTGCACTCATGGCCTGCCCAGCATGCCAATGCGCCATTTCTCTGGACAAAGCACCTTTACCTGTTGAGCATGGTTCTAATGTCTCCTCTCTGAGTCTGTTCCTCTCAGAAAGGTGGATACAGCCAAGTTAGAAGAGTGGAAGGGTTGTGTTTGCAAACTGTTATCCCTTGAAGAGTGGCTCCTTGTACTCAGAGCTGCTTGCCCTATGTCTAACCTGATTGAGGAGCAGCCTCAATTGCACAAGTCATCATGATAGGGGGAGGAGATGCTGAGTTACTGATCTGTTCTCATTTGCACTGCCAAAAACTCAAGACCCGACTTGATGGAGCCATTCAGGGAATCTTTGTCTCTTGTTTCAGTATTTGGCTTTTAAAGACTTGCGATGGCAGAGACCCAAAGGAAGCAGGATTTCTGAATAGTGTGTCTCTGAAATTCTTGGCATAGGAGAACGATAAAGTGAACATGGGATTCTTAACTTTAACACTGAGAATAAAACTGTCTCTGCTGTCCAGTTTCTGCTGGGAGTCCGAAGCACTGTCAATGGCTTTCTCTGTCGTCTTTTGCAGCCCGTATTCTCTGCCGCTGGGTCTGCTGCCTTCCCCCATCACCTGTTAATGCACATGGGGGTTACTGCATGTATCTCACATCTACCACGTGCAGTAAACACTTCCTGTGCAAAGGTGCTTGAAACAACATCTGTCATGACATCAAAGGAAGTGTGACTGCCAAGTGCAGCTGGAGGACTTCTAATAATGTGGTGCTTTAGAGGAGGCTATAATGAAATCTGTGAACCGTCTGAGACTTTTTCTAAGCAAACAGCGTGTGGTCACCTTCCTCCCTTTGCTTCCTCCTTTTGTTATTATATAAACATTGTTTTGCATATATTTAGGCAATCATTTCTCCGTGTGAGAAGCTTGAGAACACGTTCCTGGTTGTGAGAAGTACATTTCTTGGCACCGTGCTAAGAGAAGCGCCACTATGGAATGTCGCCATGAATTCTGCCTTTTTCAGTAGAAAACCCCTCTGGTGAATGTGCTGTTTGTTAACTCTGAACCCAGTATGAGAGTTTCTGATTAAGAGTCTAGAAAAGTTATAATAAACTCATTATACATTTAAAAAGGAGAAGAGCTGCCCTCCAGAATATGAATCCAAACTCAAAAAAAGCATTCAGTGAACAAGAACAATGCTCAGTAGATTTTCAAATTGATGGAGCTTTCCAATGGAAACTAATTTGTTCCAGCATTGAAGTGGGCATAATTAACAGAGACTTTCTTTCTTAGGCCGATTAACCCCCGAAAACCATGCCAACATTGTAACTGTAAGCAGTGAAAACCAATATTTATGAGGGGGATTGTGCAAGGGTTTGGGTGACAGATGGGCATTTTATCACTGTTGATGTTTGGAATTCCCTTGAAAAGTAATGCAATATCTTGTTATTTATGAATGAATGAACAAATGATTGTGCTTTGCTGACTGGGTTTTCTTTAAAAAGACATATTCTAAATTAATCTTTCTCTGGTTAGCCTCTATTACTTTATGTGTGGGAGCCTCATATATTATGATGCAAAACCTGAAAAATTGTAATTGTGTTTTTATTGCAGATACAGATCCACGTGTTTTAGAAAAACAAGAATTACAGCAGCCAACCTATGTTGCCCTCAGTTACATTAATAGGTAAGCCATTTTCAGAATTTATAACAACCTCATCTGCCACTTATTTACCTTTTAAATGCATATTTTTAGCAGTATAGGGCAACAATGATGCTTTCAATCTTAAAAATGTTTGCATGAGATTATTTTAAAGCAACTTCTATTTGGAGTTTTCTGTTCATCTGTTGGAGATGTAGAATTATAGTCCTGTGCGTATGGCTAAAAACGTGACTGATTTATAAGCTCATTCTGGAAGTATTTTGTATGCAGAGTTAGAATATGCTCTTTTGACTTCATAAAGCAATGTGGGAAATTAATGGATTTATGTTGGAGTGAACCTTTTAAATCCTGGGGTGAAGAGGTACTTTATGGATTCAAAACATGGTTAGAATATCAGAATATATCAGGATATAACAAATTGAAATAATTTAATTTCAGAAATTTAGTAGCAGCTCATCTTTTAGTAAAAACATTCTTAGCAACTAACCCCATCTGTGTAGAATAACATGAGTTTTTACTTAAACTGAACATGTGAGCCCAACTTTAGGGAACCGTTTCGAACTTGATATATCAGGTCTAAAAGAAGACTTAGTGTTTCAGCCAACTCAAATAATTAAGGAGACAGTAATTTTTTGGAGAGAACTTGAAATCACCTTAGGTTAAGAAAACACACACTCCCAAAGCGAAAAAGACAAAAGTAAAAGCAAAACTAGTTTTTAATGAGAACAAGAAACTCTCTGCTCATAATTCAGCCCATGAATTTCTATTGATTGTCCCTTTTATATAAGGTGAGGAGTGTTTCCAGTCTCTTGGTACCAGAGTTGTGGTTTAGAGCCTGGAGTGGAAAGTTGGGAATGAATTATCTGTACTGTTTGATTCGAGTGCCTTTTTAGGAAACTTGTTCAATTCTTGCCCAGACAGAGCTGTGACTTGGTCACCTGTGCTGTTTGAAGTTCTTCTATGAAGCATGTTTTCAAAAGGATGCATAATATAAACATCTGTTTGCATATCTGATTTCCTCATCAGTATTCCCAGGAAATAACATAAGAGATCTATAGTTTTTTATTACCATGGTTTTCAAAATCATATCAGATACAAATAAGGATGTGTATGGTTATCTGAGTTTCATCATGGAGCCTGTGTTTTCAGCAATCAGCAAGGGTTTTGAAAAGTCATATCTTAGGCTTATATTAATTTTTATTAGCCTACTAATATTGTGGGATAGATAAATAGGCATGTAGACTAAGTATGATATTGAATAGGACTTTTAATAGTGTGGCTATTGTGATTTGGGTAAATTGTCCCTTGTCTTATGTACGAATTTGTGCAATATTAAACCATACTGCTTATCATTTCCAGTGGGTTTATTCAGGCCATGTCCAATCCAGAATATCACATGGGACCTGGACATTTTAATCCCTCCAGTCTCTTTTAATCTGACCCAGTCCTGGGATTGAAAATGATTTATCGAAGAGATGGTCCAGTTGTCCCATAGAATGTTCCCACCCTCTGCTTTGTTCTTCCCCCCTCAGGGTACCATTTGGTGGTTTCCTCTTTGTCCTATATTTGTTTTAAATGGCAAGTTAGACTTGATCTTGAACTGGATATTTTATTTTATTTAGAGACCTGAGAAATAATGACAGAGTAAGTCTGAGCTGGTGGAGAAGTAGGCATATGTAGTGGGCCAGTAATTCACTAATGCCCTCTTGGTGAGGAGGACGTGTGAAAGTTTGCCCGGATTACCAGCTGCTCACGCAGGATGCCTCTGTGGGGAGAGGGCACATTCCCAACATGGTACTCTCCACATAGTAGACACTCTAGTATTTGTCAATGGTAGATAAAAGCTGAGTAGAGAAAAGAGCCAAGCAACTGATGGCTGCAAGCCTGGCCATGGTGGAAAGATGTTCTGAACCTTTGATAAAAGAAGGGAAACACGGCAGTGTCAAAATCCAGATGAGCCAGTACAGATTTTAAAAAATAGTATTATGGGTTAGGTAGAATGAACAACAACACCAACAAAGTTTGACAGCAATATCCTGAATATAGCAGAAAATAATACTATGTTTTTAAAAAATTAAGTTGAATGAATAAGAGGTTCGTTGTTTTTTTTTCCTGAATCTTGGGGAAATAAATTCTAATTTTGCTGAGCAGTGAAGATGGAGAAATGATTAATATTGCTCTGTTCATATGTCTGTTAACCCCAATGGACATCTAGGCATCCCAAAATTGAGATGGAACTTTCTTTGGCAATGACATTGACTAATCATCAGAGAGAGATGGTCTTTAACAAGGAGCTCACGTTTTTGGGTTATTTAAAAGAAGATGAAAGCAGTTGTAGAAATCATTGCCTTTATTTAACTATTTTAAATTGTTATATACTGTTTAACATAATGTTAAAAATCATATTTACAAGTAGAAAGAGAAAGTCTTTGATTCCCTTAAAAGCAGGTCTGTTCGGTGAATGACTTTATGGAAATCAGCTGGATATTGGCTGGATTTTGGATTTTACATTCAATCTGCTGCAGTACTATATCAGATAACCTCTGGAAAAATCTCATTGTACACTTGTGAGAACATGGGGGGGAAGGGCAAATGACAATACTCAGGGGTCAGTGGGGTCAAACTTGCACAGGTAGGCTCCAGAATCTAATTGCCATATAGCTAGACTTGTTGAGATATTGGAAGTATTCATTAGGAAAGTAGGAGGAGAATTTGGAAGACTAACATTGGAAAAGTTAGGACAGATATAAAAATAATACAGAATAATTACCATGCCCTCAATAACTGGAGGTTAGCAGCTTAATAGGATCAAACAATAGAAACAGCAGAAGCTAAAAGACAGTGAGAAGAGCAGGAATTCCTGTTAGATCACTACCACGGAATTGGGTTGAGCATACCCAGTGAATCCTAGCATATGCCTCAGGTCCCATGGGGAAGGGAACCTTCACATCTGCAGCCAATAGGAAAGAAAGGGTGGAACACAGGGAGCACACAGGAGGCCATCCTCCACCATGACTCACCTGCAAGGCATGGGACAGGTGACTGCAGGAAGAAGTCAGGTGAGTCTCCTCAAAAAGCTTGCTAAGAAGCAAAGGCTACCCCAGGTGGTTCCTTCAAGCTGTTATTAAAGTAGTTCTGGTAGCCATACTGAGGTGACAAGGTAGCTTATTAATAACTTGTGACTCCCCAGAAATAGATAACTAAAAAGGGATAACATACATGACCAAGGCTCCAAATTATACTGTGATTTCAAAATGTTTTTATTAAATAACATGAATTGGAGTTTGCAAATAACTCCAATTCATTGAAACCTTAATGTTTAAAATATATATAGCATTTTATATAAGATGTAAAGAATTATCATGCCCAGTAAATTGCTGCCTTCTTACATTCAACCCTTACCATTTACTGCTTAATAATTTTTTCTTATAACTATACTATAGCTCTACTCTAATTCTCTTTGTGGGACCCCTGCACTGTTTGGTGTAGTAAGTATACATTTCACCTCTAAAAATGTTTTTACTTGGCTTAATGTTTGCTCTTAAAGTTAGACATCAAATTCTAAAGTGTTTTATAGAAAAGTATTTCCAAGAAATAATCAATAGCCCTCCCCTACACACACACACACACACACACACACACACACACACACACACACCCTACCACTTTTACTTGCAGTAGGATACTGAGATCATTAAGGTTGGGAAATCATGAATTAAATGTCTCCTCCCCTCTGCTTGATATGCCTTTTATATCTCTAAAGGGGGCAATATAATTCTAACATGTACCTGATCCCAGGGTGCTTTTTGTTGAAGCACTAATGGGACTAGTGTTCTGGACACATAATTCAGGGTTGCTGGAGTAATATCACTTCCACCACCCTCCCCAGTTTCCTCAAGGAACCCTGAAGTCTTTTATGCAGATGGCTTTGTATTTTTTTCTGATTCAAATTGCAGAATTCTTTTTTCTCATAGTCACCTGGGAAGGAGGCACAGGCTTGATCACCTTCTCTTGCACCTCTTTTAATGGTGATCCATCTACTTCTCATACACTGATCAGTCATCGAATTGCCTTCTATTAAAAACGAAGATTTTTCCCTCAAAAACCATCTCTGCTTTTTCCATACCTCCATGTTATTTTCCTTTTATTTCAGAAGTAGAACAATGCAGTGGTTTAGGGTAAGCAGTGGAATTAGACTGTTTAGGTTAAAGTCCCATCTGCTCTCCAAGCTGTGTGACAGAGTTGGCAAGTCTCAGCTTCCGTTTCCTCATCTCTAATAATACCTCCCTAATTGTGAATATTTAATCAGTTGGTGCATATAAAGCACTTGTTCTGCACCTGTAACATAGTCAGTGCTATGTTAAAAAAAAAAATCTTTTTATTCTCTATATTCTGCTCCTGGTAAGTCCCCTTTCACTACCAAGTTGCTGATTGGAGGAACACAACACCTGGAGGGGAAGTATTGCTTTGGAATATGACCAGAACAGTTTCCACCAGGAAAGAAGTTCCTTGAGAACAGAGACATCTCCCATCTGCCCTAACTGTGTGTCAGACCCCAGAACAGTGTCTGGCTCATTGTAGAGCCTCATTAAATATTTACCAAAGAACTGAAAAAACTTGTTTGATTCTAAGGATCATAGAGATACTTTCATGAGACATCTAGGAGCCTCTACCCAGGTGTGTTAAAAGACCTATTTCCTGATAATATAACTTTATTATGAATGAAAATCAATACTATACACTTTGATTCAGCATTTACCTGGCCTGCAGCATAAAAAATGTCCTCGGTGATGGCTATTACTAGTTGTCCTACCACAAATAACCAGGCAACTGTAGGAGATAGTGGTTTTTAGGCTCCAGGTAATAGGTAGTAGAGGATTACGATTCCCCAAGAAAAATGAAGTTTAGGAGGCAGGCAAGAGTCACCAGTCACCCAGCTCTCGCCATCTGAGGAAGGTGTCCTCACTGTGGCCCAGTGAACAGAGCCCAAGCAGACCGTGACAGTGTGTCTCTGCTGAGGAGGT